TCTATCTATCTATCTATCTATCTATCTATCTAATATGCTTCTTTATGGTCTAGCTATTTCAACATGTATCCATAGTTAGCTAATTTCAACTGTTTATTAGTCTACTTTTATCTAACTATTTAGACCATGAAGCCTATCCATCACTTTCAGCTAACCATTTGTTTTATCTATCTCAATCATTTCTCCATTAGGCTATGTTCAGCCAACTATCTCACCATTTAGCTAAATAACAACACTGTGTTTAGGTGTCACGGCTGACTTTTCTATTTTTCTAATCCAAATAATTTCAGCTACTCTACAGCCTCTCCAGACAGGCCTCCCCCTGGCAACTGCAGAGGAATGTAGGTACTCAGTTGTGAGGTGCCCTACATGATGTCCGGCCCCTAAACGTTACATGTGGTTTAGTTATTTCTTAACTTAACTTACTGTATTTCTCTGCGCAATTTGATTGTAACATAAAACTGCAGATATGTGATTTTGGGTCCATTTTGTTAATTATATTTTTTATAAAAGTGGAATAAGAACCCAGACTGCAGTACTTGAATGCAGCATCAGTGGGAGATTAACCTTGGTGAGACTGTGTATGTTTTTTGAGCGTCTTACCGGTGACCAGGGCGAGGGTGCATATGCAGGAGAAGGTGGATACATCCAGGTTCATCCTCTGCAGATTAGCAGAGAATTCAACAATGCTGTCAATCCACTCCCCAAAGCCCCTCAGGCACTGGAGCCGGTGCCACACTGTCCCGTCGCAGAAGATCAGCTTCCCTTCCTCCGGGTTGGATCTGAAACATTATGACAGCTTATGCTAAAAAGGCTCAAAAAACAGAGGTGGATAACACCTGGTTACAGTCTTATGCACAAAACCTGTCCATGCATCCATTATCAGACAAATAAATAAATAAAAGTCGTCTCTCCAGATGTTGAACCTTTCATTATAGTGCCAAATCCATCCCTGAGTTTTGTAAAGTCAGAGGACGAGTTCCCTTTCGTGTGTTATCTACCTGTATGACAATCGTAAAACAAAGAGCTCCAGGAAGGCCGAGTAGAAGAGGAGGTCTTGGTCGTTTTTGTGAAGGGAGGTGAAGCCCGGGATCTTCTGCGCCCAACCTCGAATCACCTCCATGGATCTGGTCAGGAGGTCATAAAACTGCCGCACGTGCTGAGCGTCGTCTCCCAGTGGGCTGCCTGGACTCTCTTTGACCTAGTGAAAGGTCACCGGTGGGATTAAGTAGAAAAAAGATATAAAATACATCAATTACAGCTCTGATATGACCTTATTTCACGTAAAGGGGCCACTACACATTCCTTAAAGCAGTGAAAACATGCCAACGCTGCTTACTTTGAAGCAGTCGAGGAGAGAAGGTGGAGGGTTCGATTCCACATGGGCCCTGATGAGGGTGCTCAGGAGGTTGCTGACAGGTGAAGACGAGTCTGGGACAGCTTTAGGTTTGGACGGCAGGCGACCCCTTCGACCTTTCAGACTGGCTGTCCTCACCACTGCACAGAATGAGAAGGAAACAGTATACGAATGAGTACAATTGGACTTTATGTGACCCCGCCAGATGTTAAAAGTGTCTTTTAAAGTCTACTGGTTCACCTTCTTTGACCATTCCCACAGCAAGGCACTTCTGGAAGCGACAATATTGGCATCGGTTCCTCCTGCGTTTGTCCACAGGGCAGCTTCTGGCAGCCAAACACACGTACTTGGCATTTTTTTGTACTGTGCGCTGCGTGGAGAAAGAAACAGATATTTTTGCAAAGAACAAAGCTTAGGAATATAATACCTGTGCTTCGATACTACTTATCAGGATGAGGTCATACATAAAGGTTACTGTGAGTGACATCTGTTTGTTCTTAACCTCATTCTCATCCACTCTGCTCCAATAAAAATCTGCTTTTTAAGGGTTTTTTAAAAGCCCTGAAAGACGAACTCTAATGACACCATTAAAACCGTACACACAGAACTACCTGGGACAAGGTCTTTGCCGCACTTTGGTACCAGTTTAAGTGGCGTTTTAAGAAAGCATTGAAGCACAATGTCAGCTTCTGTAGAACAGATTTCATGCTTCAGGTTCAATACATGGCAACAAAAGGGGGCTTTTGTGAGATCTGGTGGCTTTTGTCTAATCTGGTGGCATGGACGACCTTCTTGAAAGGGGTCTTTCAGCATAAGGACCCCCTTTTTGTAGCTTGTAGACTAAAGTAAAGACCCTTAAATGTTTTTGGGGGAAATTAACAGCAGCACTCATGCTCCTCAGGGCCATCTGAGGCAGTATGAGGCATTCTGCAGGCGGGCAGGGCAGTCTGGGTAAATACAGGGTCGTGGTCAGTCATAATTTGGAGAACCGCCCCTGGGAATCTCCTACAGAGGGAAGAAGATGAGGTTTTTTATTCATGGCACGTTGGTGGCCATTTTCAGACAGGACATTTGCCCCCACCACGCCTGTGTCAAGAGATCAAAACGTGCATCTGAAGAGAAATGACCAATTTAGGAGGCCAGTCAGGAGTCCCGGTGGGATTTTTTTTCATTATAGTTTATTACTCGAATTATAATTTCATTAGGCGACAGTGTGGCCATGCAGGGAAAAGTGAATATATCCATTTAAACAAAGCGAGATTATCATGAAAACAGGATCAGATATTATTTCACAGAACTGGAAATAACTGGGATGGTTTTATCCTTTTTGACAGACACTTTGTTCACCTATTAATTTAAAGTTTTCAGGATAATAAAGATCATATAAATCAGTCGGCTGCCTCCTAAAATCCAACTTGAAATTCCCGTTTTCCTTGCGGCTTTAAAATAAAGTTGCACCGAGAACAAACCTTGAAGAAACCCTTGCAGCCCTCGCAGGTGCGCACTCCGTAGTGCTGGCAGGCTGCGTTGTCGCCGCACACCGCGCACAGCCCCTCCGCGCTCAGCGGTCCTCGGCTGGCAGCGGAAGAAGTCTGGTAGTCCATAAAGTGGTGGCCGTGGGCGAGCTGCAGGGGGTGAGGAAATCCCACTCCGGGCTGCTTTCCGAGGGCACTAGAGCCCAAAATCCCGGGGCTGTCCAGCGGATGGTGCGCCCCGGCTGCGTCCACGTTCATGGACACATGGACAGACCCGTCATATTTCATTTGGCAGGTGGACAAGCTCTGCTGTTGCGCGTGTTTCAGGGAAAAAAGCGAGAATCTGGATAGTGCGTTTTTCCTGTGCGCCGCCGCCAAATAGTCTTGTCGAAAAGTGTACAGAGAGCCGGAGTCCTCCCATATGTGTCCCGGTGGAGTTTGGAAGTTGGGTGTGATGGGGCCGTGCGGCGACGGGGAGCGGTAGTAATAAACGGAGCCCGGGGAGGAGAGCAGCTCCTCGGACTGCTGCTGGTGATGTTGATTCGGCTGATACCGCGGACACCCGTGCGCATCCTCCACCTTGACGCACGGAAGCTCCCCCTGCAACGGCATTTGGAAGAGACACGGGGTCTTCACGTCGTACCCGGAGCCATAAGTGTCACCCAAAGGACCAAAACTGGGACCTGACGTTGAGGCCGAGATTTCACTGTTAGTAAGGTCCATGCTGAACTTGACAAACTCCGGTGTGAGGAAGTCGCAGCTGCGCTCTCCGCCCGCGCCCTGAGAGGCCGGGCTGGCTCCTTGTGGAGAGGAACCGCACTGGGTCTGGACGCACGGCATGGCCCCTGCAGACATGGGCATAAAGCAGTCAGTGGAAAGTGGGAAACTCAGGCAAGTACACAGCTATATTACACCTGTACCCCATATTTAACCAATTCCGCCCCCCAGATTCTGATTCTGATTAAACGTTGCTTTCAATTTCCTCCTGATAATTTTAAAATGTCAACTGGAAACAAAATAGGTGCCCGTTGCGCAGCGATTTCCACTTGTTGAAAGGTAGTTACGACCTTAAAAACTAATTTAAATGAGACAACAGCGTGCATGGAGACTTTAATTTATGATATTACCTTAAAGCTTTAGTTGTCTTATTTTCCAGAGGATGTTTTTGCCCGCTAGACCTCGCCTGGTATGAAACAACAACAAAAAAAAACATCAAAGTATCACTTGCAAGCTTCACACTGGCATGCAGCCTTTTCTTAAATCGCTGCAGAAAAGTAGAATATACAATACCTCAGACCTCCATCCAGTGCAGGAGGACAGTGACAAGTAATCCCATCTCTGCGGTAGTGTTGCTTTCGGAATCTATTGAAGCTTTAGCGACCAGAAAAAAGCCCACTCGCTGTCTGGAGAGCAAAAGGAAATGACTGTTCACTTCTCCCACTCTGGGATTGCAGACTGGCTGCCAGTGACACTGACAATGTGCTTTTGTTTACGTGGTGCGCACCCGTGTGCCAAACCCTATTACGCACAAGCCACAGAGGGGCGGGGTGGTGAGTGTGTCCCTCTCTCTCTCTCTCTGTGTGTGTGTGTGTGTGTGTGTGTGTGTGTGTGTGTGTGTGGGTCATTGACTGGTGTGGGCACAGAAAGTGGTTCATGTAATTTGGAAATAATGCTTGTGGCCCACTTTCTTGCAGTTTGCATCATGTGTAAGGGATTTTATTGCGAATTTTAAAGCATTTTCTATCAGACCTGGGAGCAGATGTCATTTGGCATTGATGGGGAATAATTCAAAGTCATCAATTAAAAGTCTTGAAAGATCAGGACCACTTTGGACAGCACGTAATTTGATCTGTGATTGAACATGGCATCAGTTTACAGCTTAAAAATACACGTTTTGTTTAGGAAATACTATCTAAATACCAGTCTATTTATAGGAATGACTTTTTAACCCGTGCCTCCTGTGCTTAAAGACAGAGAAAACGACAGCTGGTGGCATTTCTCCCCTCTTTATTATTATCCTGAAGGAGGAGGATGGAGGGGAGACCGGCGTTGCGCAATCTTAGCCTCGCCTTACGTCAACAGCGTGGCACCGCCTCCCCTCGCAGCCCATTGGACGAGCGCGGCCGAGTGCTGCGCTCCGATTGGCTCTCCGCGGTGTCACTCGGCGCCGCTCGATTTCCTGGTTGTAGCTGTCAACACGCAAAGCTACCGTTTCGGATAGCAACCGATGCCGCCAGTCGCCGCCCCGAGCGAGTTTTATTCAGCCTCAAAACAAGAAGTCCTGTAAGTGGGGATGTGTGTCGTATCACCGGGTGTTTTTCGGGGACTTTAAACTCTATCTAACGAATGATTTAACCCTTTGTTTTTGTTGGCATAGAGCCAAAAAAAAAGAGCAACATCTGCGAGCTTTGCTAACGTTTGTGACTGACAACGAGCCTCTCCTCCTCAGTCGGTACAGCTGAGGCTACACGCCAAGTTAATGTGTTTAATGGTTGTTTAAAAGCGTAAAAAACAGCCTATTTTCTACCCTACTCCCTGTATGAATGTATGAATGTGTATATGTTTATAACTGGGGGTTTTAATTTTGAGCGTTTTCGTGACAGCTTATTGTTCGGAGCTTTTAATCCACAGCAAGATGTCAGGTTAACATAACAGCGACTTCCTCCTCTGTAGGTGACTTATATGGTCCACTGCAGCAGTGCCCGACATTATAAGTCATTATACTACCACCTGCTGTTCAAAGCCAACCCTGCTGTGTGGGATTAAAACACGGGATTCCCAAAATATTCCCTCTGGAAATACACCCAGGCCTTAAAAACAGGGAAAAATATCAATGCATGCACCTTCGCCATGTGTTTCTTTAAAAAAAAAAAAAAAAGGTTACAGCCAGGAAACCCCCCTCCTCCTCCTCCTCCTCCTCCTCCTCCTCCTCCTCCTCTTCCTCTGCTGACTCACACTGAGGTTTCATGGTGATGTAAGCATCATCATGAGGAGGAAGAGTTGGGTTTTCGTGCTGCAGCCTCAGCTTTGATAGCAATGTGGTTCAGGTGGACGGACTACCACCCATCACCAGCCAAAAGGGGTTCCTCAGGGCTTATTATTGGCATGTTTGGCCTTTCTAGTCTCCAGTAATGAGCCGCCTGCGAGGTGGGTGTGAAAGCCTGTGGTATGCAGCAGCAGGTTTTAGATTTTATGGGTTTTTTGAAGGCCAATACATTTGTATTGAACCTCAGTAATGGTTCGGCACTAACTGAAATGTGTTATGTGGTAATGCTTGAGAGTATTGAGAAATACGTGTGTGTTATTTGAGCTAAAGTTTTCTGATTTGAAGGACACATTTATTTTTATTTAACACTTGAGAAACCTATCAGACCACGACCAATATATAATAATATATCAGCTTATATAGCAGCTATAGTGGCATGGGTGTAATTTTCAAGTAGTTTCAAGTCTGTTGTCTTGCCGTTGAACATTTGTTACACCAAACTGGTTGCTGACATTTGTGCCATCTGTAGCTGTGTTTTATTAAAATGCATTAGAATCTGCTCCAGCGTATGCCACTCCCTGGAAACCTCCATTCAAACTACTAAATATTTCTCTGGGCTGCCTCTGGTGGGAAGAAGTGTGGCCCCCTCGCTCTGCCAGAGCTGGTATCATGTTCTGCTCATTATGGGAAATATATACAAATGGTATCTGAGCATAGCTTAATACCAAAGCTGGAAATATACTGTATTTTAATTATAATGTCCAGTTAAAATTATTCTGTTTATGTACTGCAATATCTGTAAATGTTTTCAGATATATTAACCAGTTTTCAGTCGTGTTGATCATATTGGATAAGTGACTTTTTGCCCTTTTAACAAGATGCCGCTAAATTGGATAAATATTTGATAAATTATACAGAAAATACTTGCTAATTATTCAAAATTTAAAGTAATATTTTAAGCCAGAATGCCAAATATTCCCCAGTTGCATCTTCTGAAATGTGTAGATTAGTTTCCTCCTCAGAATATGTTTAAGTTCTGTAGTGTTGGGTCAGACGAAGACAAGAACTTTTTCACTATTTTCTGACATTTTATAGACAGAATGATTGGTCCAAACAGTAATTGGCAGATTAATTGATCATCAAATAAAATAATGAGTGGGTTAGTTGCTACCCTGGTTTCAAACAAGGAGAATTACACTACGAATTACGCTCTGAAGATACAGTGTCAGGGACAGTTTTATGAATGAAATTATTAAGTCAATGCGTTATGGCGACAATTTTAGCATCAAATGTGAGAAATATATAATATTCTAATTCATTACCGTGTATGCAGCTCGGAGTAATCGCAGTCCACAGCGCCGCCGGGGTCTCTTCCTCTCCTCTTGTGCTGTGTGCAGTCAGTCAGTCGGTGTGGAGTGTCGGGCACGTTTTGACCTCCTCTCTGGTTAGGTGGTCCCTATAGCTGGTAAATATGTGAATAGTTTGTTTGACGTTCTCTCTGTCTCCGGGTTCTCTGGATTAGGGTGTTCCTATGTGTAAACTGTTTGTTTGAGCTTGTAAATATTTAAATGGTTTCGTTTAATCTTCTCCCTTCCGTTTTACTTCAAATAGTACTTCAGGTAATTTTTTTTTTGCCGATGCCAGATAATCAGCCGGATTAATTGGTTGTGGTCATTGTGAGTAAAAGGTAACATTATGGGAGTGGGTGGCCCAGCTCAACAAATCTTCTTCATTTGTACGAAATAAAAGTACATTTTAAAATAATTGCTGATTAATTTTCTGTAAACTAAATGTGACATCGCCTTGAGAGTGTGTGAGAGGCGGTTCCAGTTATCTGAAGTTTTCCGTATATTGCTGCAAAGCACGAAGAACAAATATTAACTCTGTAATGAGTCATTTATACTACTATTTACATGCAACTTCTCCCAGTGCACATAGACTGAGAGTGGACTTTACAGTGAAGTATGAGACATCTTGAGTCCAGCAGGAAAAAAAACATGTGAAACAAAATGAGCATACTGATAGTTTATTGGATAATAAAGAAGCAGCTCTAAACAAAACGAGTAATCTGTTATCAAAGTTGTAAACCATGTCCCTGTTTTAATTCTGGTGACATAAACACAGCATTCCTTCCCCACGTGAACTTTCAACTCTTGTCTCGTTCAGCCTGACTTGCAGCTTTTTGGATCCTCCCGCCCCCCTTACTAACCCCCCGGCATGTCTGCTTCACACGATCACCTGTCATGTCAGAGCCGTACAACCCGGGTGCCTCTGCTCTGTCTCCTCACTCCACTTTACTTTCTCCTCAGGGCCGGCGATGGCGTTCAGGAAGGCTCTGAAACGGACGGCCATCGTAGGCGGCGGGGCGGTCGCCGCAGTTTTTGGCCTGTCGCAGCTGATCGAGTACAGGAAGACACAGGTAAGTCGACGGGAGATGTCACCTGTCAGTTTGTGTCGCGCCACCAGATGTTTAAATGTTTGCTTGTTTGTTTTTTTTCGTTGCGTGAGCACAGTTTGCAAGAATTCCAGTTTTTCAGGATTTGACTCAAAGCAAATATTTGACATTTGACTCCCCCCTGGAAGGTGACAAACTTTTTAAATAGTAACATTTTTTGGGCAACAGTACAGTTTTTCTTTTGCCCTGAAAAAGTCTGCACTAAGCAGAGAGGGAGTGCCTTTCAGGGCATGTCCTGTCTAGATTTTGGAATGTGCTGACTGTCCTCTACCAGGTGTTCACTTTTTGTTTTTTCGATGCTTTCCAGCTGCTGTGCCGGAGGCATCAGTTCACTCACAAGCATGCTGCCACTGTATTCAGAGCTGCTACATTAAAGAACAGCAGGTTTTTTTTTTTTTTACATTATAAGCGATACTCCACCACCTCCAGTTGTTTTTCTTCCACTTCTTCATCCAATGAAATGTCTGTTCTTTGTGAATGGTAACTAAGGGAACTGAGGAATGTTTGTTTTATGAGTCCTGGGAGATGTGGCTGTTTTACTATTTGGCCCTTAATAAAAAAACATAAAGTAATAAAGTTAAGTGATTAGAGTCAGATGAGAGATTAGATGAGAAGATTGATACCACTCTCATGCCCGTAGACTAAATATGAAGCTACGCCTGCAGCTCGTTAACTAACCTTAGAATAAAGACTGAAACCAGTTGCCAGGCAGCCAGTGCAGACTCCAGGAAGTTACCTGTACCAGCCCAGAAATAGTACAGCCCCAGTAAAACAGAAAATTCTTGTTTATACACTTCTTGTTTTAAACCAACGAGCTACAAAGTGTTAATTAGTGAGCTCTAGAGGAGCTGACAGGCCCCCTGTTTCCAGTCTTTGTGCTAAGCTAAGTTAGCTGGCTGTAGCTTCATACTTTGCATACAGATATAAGAGTGATATCAATCTGCTCATCTATCTCTCTGCAACAACCAAATGTAGAACTTGTAGAATCTGAGGGGCGGGGGGAGGAAGTAGTTTCTGTTTGTGCAACAAAAGCTACACATCGACTAGCTCCTCCTCATATGTTTTAAGGAAGTTCACGAATATAGGAGGAGAAAAAAAAACACAGCTAACGTTAAGAAACACGCTGATAATTGTGCTTATTTTGTAACATGTACAGAAAAGTAAGATTTTAGTTGTTTGATATATTGTAAGATTTGTGTTTTTCCACAGGCCACATTAAATCCTGGTTGAAGTAGACGACAAATGATATAATTATGTAATGAGCAATTATCTTCCAGGTTACTGTGCCGCTTTACAATATAGATGGACGACACCACATTAGAAGAAAATGCAGATGCTCAGAGAACAATAGGTCCGCTTATAATGGTAGCTCGGGCTTGTAATGAGCGTCTCACCTCTCTTCGGTGACACTGCTGGCCTTGAACAGACACCAGTTCTGTGTCTCGCTGACAAGCCTCGGCGTTCTGCCGCTGACCATCGTCACAAACACACAAATAACCACGAGGCTTGGCTTCACTTGAGATGGACAAGCAGCTGTGTTTCCCCTGACCTCTGACCCGACGCAGGCCTATTTTAGGCCCTGCCTCACATTTACATACCAGACTTTATATGACTGTGCAACCTAATGTGAACTTTGTTTTGTGTCCTGGCGCGATAATGTCTTGCCCACCGTCATCCTCTCAACCAAGCACGGATTGGTAAGCAAGAAGTCGACCCTGATGAAATATAATTATTTTCACAATAGTTTGTAATCATGCATGCCTCTAATCTCAGTAATTGCAATGCTGATGAGATGAATGTCCGTCTTGTCTCCTTTAGCAAGGGCATATGGCTTGGAGAAGTTTTCTACAGCGGCCGATTGGCTATTAGCATGGGCTTTGCTGTGCTATTCACTGACTTAACTTGATTACGGGGGGCACACGGGCTCTTAATTCTGTGGCGGTGTTCGTCTGTGTGCATCATCAAAAATAGACAATGATTATATCATCGTCTTGTTTGCGGTTGCAGACCTAAATCACAAACGCCTGCTTCTATTTGCAAGTCAAATGCCACGTTTGCTTCAAAGCAGCTTGATGCAATCATTTAGCTTGAACCTGCTAAATAGAAAAATGAATAAATATTTCATTAGAAGAGAAATCCCACATCCTCACATCAGAGGGGAGCTGTGCTTTTTTTTTTTTTTTATTGTACTTGTGATTATTTCTTTCAGTTAATTATTTTGCTAATCAAACAATGGATGTAAGTGATGTTCAGAGCTGTCATGTGATTTTATTTCGTGGGGTTTTGCGAAGCTGTGCAGCATGTTGCAGCAGATAACCCTCAGCAACCCTTTGCTTTTCTACTAACCACATCAAGATTGTGCTCTGATTTTTTTTTTTTTAGCAACACTGAGAAACTTAAGGTGAAAACGAGACATCATAAGCACATCACCGATCAAAAGCTCTTTCTTAGGATTTGTTTAAAAATATATTTCAACCACCATTTTGTCCTAAATTTGGTTGCCACTTCTTGTGGTAGATTATACGGTGGTGTTCATATTATTTACTTATGTAAAAGTATGTATACTTATCTTGGATTATTATTTTTGATACATCACTGCGTTTGCAGCATTTTCATGTTTCATGTCCGTAGCTGCGGAGTTGAAGCTAGTATTTATAAACTTTATAAACTGGTGGGTAGTTTAATGGATAACGAAGCATCATATTTTATAAACTGATCACATGTTTTGTTTGTAAAATATTAATCTTCTATTTAGTAACTAAAGCTGTCAGATAAATGTAGTTGAGTAAAGACAATATGTAAGTACAAAGTAGCATAAACAAGAAGCACTCCAGTAAAGTACATATACTTCAGTGAATGTACTGTACTGTTTATTCTTATTTATACATTTTTCTTTATTAAAATTTGCATAAATGTAAAGTAGGGCTTGCAGTTAAACGTAATCAATAACGGTTGGTTTATATTTGAATTTGTGTTTTGTTAGTTTGTTCAGAAATGACAAAAAATATTTTTTTATTATATTATTATTATTATTATTATATTATTTTCTACATTGCATTTGTTTGTCGAGCAGGACGTATTCACACTGTAAAACTCAGTACGTCTTCTTTTCTTTGCATTTCTTAAAAACAAAACAAAACAAACCAATCAAAAATATCTGTTAATGTAAAATAATGAATATCAGCAATATGTCTTTGTTTTTAAAACAGTTTTTTAAAGTATCAGTATCCGCTTTAGTGTTGGTCGGTCTTTAATATGATAATTAAACTTTTTTAATAATACTGTAATAAATGGACCTTCTAGGCTTCCGTACATACATTATTTTCCATCCATTACAACACAATAATGCATATTGTGGGCAAGCATTCAACCGTATGTCTTACAGTAATCTCATAACACATTCACCCCAAATCCATAATGTATTAAAATGATTGCAAGTCATTATGCATTATATCACACGTGATTCTACAAGGTGATTATAATGCAAGAATAATGCATAAATACATTACACTGTGCTTGCAGTGTGCTTATAATGTTTAAAAATGCACCTCAAGGAAAGTGTTGCTACATTTTCTAACATTTGTATTGTGTTCACAAAGAATTTAACATAGATTTTAAATAGAAATCAACATAGAAACCTATAGATTTGCAGGATTAAGCAACTACAAATCTTTAAGTTATCGTGCTGATTGTGTTTGTGTGTGTGTGTGTGTGTGTCACATCCAGGCTCAGTTAGCCCACGTGGCAGCAGAAGCAGAGCTGAAGGTTCCCTTTGCGGACGAGCTTCCCTCTCGGCAGGCCCAGCTCGCAGCGCTACAAAACACTGAGGAGTTCGATGTTCTGGTTGTCGGAGGAGGGGCCACGGGTGCAGGATGTGCCTTAGACGCCGTCACACGCAGTAAGCTCACTCTCAAGCACACCACCTCTCGTGGGACGGAGCAGGTTTCAAGCTCTATAAGTGTCCTTATTGAGTCATGGTTGAGGGAGGGAAACGCCTCGAAGGCTGGTAACAGTTTATAATGGTCTCACTCCAGTGTGTCAGCTGTTATTAATGTAAATACACCCAAGGCACATACATCAGAGGTTTTAAGACATATTAGTAACAAGCTGCACAGGTTTATGGACTTGTGCTTTGCCATTTTCTCCTCAGACCTGAAGACTGCCCTCGTCGAGAGAAGCGATTTCTCGTCGGGGACAAGCAGTCGGAGCACCAAGCTGATCCACGGTGGAGTCCGCTACCTCCAGAAGGCCATCATGAAGTTAGACTACGAACAGGTTCTTATTCATACTCTTACTTTACACCTTCACCTGTTGCCCCTTCTTTGCCCTCATCTTCTAATCCTCTCTGCTGGAACAGTACATGATGGTGAAAGAGGCCCTCCACGAGCGAGCCAACCTCCTGGAAATTGCGCCCCACCTATCAGCGCCACTACCCATCATGCTTCCTGTTTACAAGTAAGTGTCACAGACTCATACAGTACGGAAGACGTGGGAAAAAGTCACACAGAACAAAGCAGGTGATAATTGGTGTATGCTGGCATGATGCTTTTAACCTTTTAACTGAAGAGTTGTTCATTTTTATCTGGATGGATAATTAACTCCAGCCGGTTGTTTTTAATGACCCAGAATGTCTTCTCTATCGAACTTGAATCGCTGTGTTCATTTCCAAGATGGTGGCAGTTGCCTTACTACTGGGCAGGGATCAAGATGTATGACTTGGTGGCTGGGATCCAGTGCCTGAAGAGCAGCTACGTCCTCAGTAAGACCAAGGCCTTGGAGCTCTTCCCCATGCTGAAGAAGGACAAGCTGGTAGGAGCCATCGTCTACTATGACGGTGAGTCAAGGCTCCGTAATGCTTCGTTTTCTTTCCCACGGACTCCTGTTGGCTTTGCTTTAAATTGGATATTTTCACATAGACACTGGCTTGTGTGGACAGTAATCTAAAAGGCACGCTCGGTTTGTTGATTCATTGGTCATCTCTTTATTTTCTGTAAACATGAACAAGGCAGCTGAGTCAGTCTCGCTGCTCTTGCCCTTTTCCACTTTGTTCCTTTTCTTTCGTTACGATCACTTAACTGATTGATGGAAATGAGTGTGAACCATAGGAGCGTGATTTTGAGTACAGCTCTGTAACTGATACTTAAAGCAGAAACAATGAACTTTGATTTTTGGCTGATTCTGGTGGACAAAAGCAGAAGTGTTTCCACCGTTTAATTGAGTCAAGTGTAATCCGACCAAATCGGACCCGGTGTCAAGCATTAAGACTAACTATATAGAAGGAGACAGTTTTCTTGGTGATGCTCTTGTCTGATTGTGAAGATCACATAGAGGCACCAGTATTGAATTGATAGTTAAGTACGTTTAAATGCCTGACAGTTTACAGGCCTCTAACTGCCATGATGTAAAGAGTCTTGAAACCCTTTTAAAAATGCCTCAGGGTCTTTGGGTAAATAAGGGAAATATGCTATTCTTATGGCGCAGTGGTACCCAATGTGGGGGTCAGGGCCCCTCAAAGGGATCACGAGACATATCAGAGGAATCAGGAGATGATAAATGGCTGGCTAAGGCGGGTAGTGACTGAAAAAAACCCATCTCAAATAAATTCTGGTTCTGAATAAATTTGAATATTATAAAAATTGTGTAGAAATTTGACGATGAAGCCAAACAGACGATAGAAGATTCCACTCTGTTAAAATGGCTCAGATGTAAATCTTGCCCTATGGCCTTCACATCTCCACTGGTCCCTAACAAAATGTGTTGACAGGCTGGTAGTGGGCCCTCTTCCTCCCCGTGGCAGTAAAGGTTGCGTGTTCCCTGGATGGGTTCAGAGGAGAACCAAACATATGCCGAGTGTCCAGCTAAGTGTGAGGAGATATTGTGCCACGGGCATCCTTTCCGGTCCGCCACTGAAAATAACAAATTTGTGTCCGCGGGTGATTTGCTACTGTAGGCTTCACTGAGTATCAGCTCAGATCTGAGATCTGATGCTGCTTAAAGAAGCTTTTGATGTCTCTTATTTATGGTATTCAACAGTTAGACAAAATGAAATATCTGCATATATTGTACATATTGTTACAGTGTGATTAGAAGCAAAAAAAAAACTGCATCTTTGTTGCTTTTTAAGGATGTAAATTCAACAGTTTTAGTTGTGGTGTGTCTCCCACTAACAGCATCCTTTGGAGGCAGTTAACTCTCTTGATTGCATAATTTAACCCAAAACAAACAGCTTTATTATTCTCCAAATGTAAAATGTAAATTGCCAGTTATAACTGGATTTACTGCAGGCTGGGAAAAGGGAAAGGCATGTTCTTGGTGCAAAGCAGCATATGTTTGATATTCACCCCCCCCCCGCCATCATCTGCTCTGAGGGGGGGACGGGGACGGGATGGTGGAGGGGTGGGGTGTCTTTTCTCCAATTATGCCGTCTGGAACAATCACGCCGGTGACATTTCGAAATCTGACCTTCTCTCCCGGCGGTGTGCAGCGCAGAGGAGCGTCGTAGACGGTCGAACCGGCTGAGCAACAGCTATTTCTCCCGCTGTCTTGGTTACTGCTGCTCCTGCCGCCGCCACCACCAACAGCAGCCGTTTTCTTGTCACAAACACAGGAAAGGACAGCAAATGTGTAGACCTAATTCTCTTATTTGGAGTGGTATTTTTGTTTATATGGCCTGAATGCTCTGGGAAATAAAATGTTAATGCTGCTGTATCCACAAAAACAGAAAACACTTCTAATGCGCAGAAGCATTTAGGATAAGGGAAGCTCCTGACATGAGTCAGCATTTAAATTTACATATAGCTGAATGTCTGTTTCCATAGTACAACCCTGTAAGATTGAGTTGTGGAAAAATAAATAAATTAAGAATGAAAGAAAGTGATATAAGAGTATGTACAGTAACAGGATGTTGTGGCTGTGAGCCTTTGTTGCAAATATTTTGACACGGAATAAGGCTTCCCAAACAGGTCAATGATAATACACGGAAAAATGGAGGAGAGCCGTCGAATGCAGAAACTAAATGTGGGCACAAAAACAGGCACTCGGTGGCATTAAGGACACTGAAAAGGACTCGGATTAGCTTCTACTCTTGGAATGCGTTTCAAGTTTGTGCTGAAAAAGAGGCAGGAAGTGGCTTGAATAATACGTCCTAACATAAAGCTGTGAATACAGAGCGATGGTGGGCCGCTTACATTATTCATCAACATAACATAACATTTAACAGAACAACAAAATTCTGCAAGGGTGGACAGGCTGAGACATAATTAATCTGAATAATCCAATAATTACATAAGATATTGATCAACCAGGTGAACATTTACAATTTATAAAACTACATACAAATATATATATTAGATATGAGAAGGACTGGATAGTGATTTTTGATATAATTCCAGCTGATACAAAGTGTGGACTGGGACTTACTTCTTGATTTTATATACTAAAAGTACCAAAGTAAATATATTTTAATTAATGTTATGCATATGCTTGTGGCCAGTTTTCCTATAGTCACATTTTTTCACAATATATGGCCTTGCTTAGTCAATCCCCAGATTCTCGCCATTACACAGCCCTTCTAGTTATGGCTGTACGATACAATAAAGAAACAGATTGACAGATATTATTATTTTGACAGATATTGTGAGTTGTGGGAATTTCATTGTCATTGAAATAAAATACTATTAAAATCATGATGATGTGACATTTTTTGTGTGGCCTGTACCAAACAAACAAACAAAGGCCATCACTGCAGGACTACAGTACTTCATTATAATGCTGTTTGTTATATAACTTCTGCAATTTGGATATTGCTTATTGCAGCCCTACTTTAGCTTTATTTTGTCTCTGCTAGTCTGCACATAAAAAAGTGTGATATTACACATATTATCACATTGGAATAATTGGAATAATAACCTAGAAATGGTTCAAGAAACAAAGTTTAATTTACTTTTGTGCACATTGATCTGAATCTAAAATCTTTTTCTCTGTCTCCTTCAGGGCAGCACAACGACGCCCGTATGAACATGGCCATCGGTCTCACCGCCGCCCGCTACGGCGCCGCCGTCGCCAACTACACCGAGGTGGTCCGCCTGCTGAAGACAAACGACCCACTGACCGGCAAGGAGAGGGTGTGTGGCGCCCGCTGCAGGGACGTCATCACAGGTGAGGCGTGCGGTTTGATTTTTTTACTCGTACTGAAACTGTCCCGTATGTAAAAGATTGATTGTTTTGTTACTCTTTCTGGCTGTCGAGTTGAGGTGTCTCACCATCGCTCTCCCCTCACAGGACAGGAGTTTGACGTGAAGGCCAAGTGTGTGATCAACGCCACCGGCCCGTTCACAGACTCGCTGAGGAAGATGGACAACGAGGAGACCCAAAACATCTGCCAGCCCAGCGCCGGCGTTCACATCGTCATCCCCGGTTACTACAGGTACACACATCACCATTACAGTATATCCTTTTGTTTCTTTTACTTCCTATCAGGGATTTGGTATTTAAAATGCATAAACAGTGTTTTCTCATTCTTATATGTAAATACTAGGCTGGCTAAACTATTAGCTGACCTATACCTACATGCACAGTGCAATCTTCTCTGGTTAAGATACAGCAGAGCAATAGAGTGGTTTTGTTGAAGTCGGGGGTTTTTAAAGTTCAGCGAAAGCTTATTGAGCGAAACCCGAGGGAGCGCGAGCCCTTTGAACAGCGGCAGAAAATGCCAACCACCTAATTCTCTTCCTCCCTTTCTCTCGTCTTCCTCCCGCCGCCATCTGCCCCCCTCCCCACCTCCTTTTCCTCCCCCATATCTGTGTTTTTCCATTTGTGTGCCTCTGCTCGTCCTCTCTTTCTTTTTCCTCTCTAAAACTCCTCATACTTATCACCTGAGACTGGAAAGATAGTAATAAATTAGACAAATCTATTATTCAGCTACTTCTTCTGCTACTCGTACTCGTGCCCGATAATGACCCCACTTCCTGTATCTTTTGCCCCACAGTCCTGACAACATGGGTCTGCTCGATCCGGCGACAAGCGACGGACGTGTCATCTTCTTCCTGCCCTGGGAGAAGATGACCATCGCCGGGACGACCGACACGCCCACCAACGTGACGGCCCACCCAATCCCGGGGGAGGATGACATCAACTTCATCCTGAATGAGGTCCGCAACTACCTCAGCCCTGACGTAGAAGGTACGGGAGTCTTCTCTTGTATAGGGCTTTTCTTTGGTATTATTTTTGATTTATTGATTTCTTTAGGCCCATTTTGTTGCTAGAGAGCTCAAAAAGTAATCGTTTTGTAAGTGTCTGCAGTAGTGGAGCTGATTTATCTTCATCTTAAACCCCATTTTTTCCAGAAACACAGATGAAAGAACATTATAGGAGATATTACACTGAGTTATAGAAGCTGGTGGAACAGAGGCAAGACAGAAAGTGAAATCTTTTTTGTTTTCCTAGCAATGCTAACTAAACGTGCTTCTTCTTGCACTGTAGGATGTGTTTTACCTGAGGCAGAGCGTGTGGAGCAGCAAGTCTAAAAGCAAACATAAGCTAGAGTGAAATAAAATGTATTTGTATAACTCAATATCACACAGCTCCCAACACAGACCTAAAACTATTTAAGAAAACAAGGAAACTCATCAAAAATAAAAGAATACTTTGAAAAGGGAAATTAAAGCAGGTTTTTTATCAGTTTTGGCTGTTGTGGATATTGTGCTCATTTATTGAATTATATGATGTATATAACGTTACATGTGGTGGGCATGCAGGAGAGACGGGAGCTGCTTATATTAGTCCTAAATACCAAGAACCACCATTGTTCTGGTTGAGCATAAATACATGGATCTATGGTAGCTCAGGTTCAAAGTGAGGTACCTCAGCTGAAATGTGACTGTGTGTGTGTCGTCTGCAGTGCGTCGTGGAGACGTGTTGGCGGCGTGGAGCGGCATCCGTCCCCTGGTGACCGACCCCAGCTCCAAAGACACTCAGTCCATCTGCAGGAACCACATCGTCAGCATCAGTGACACTGGACTGGTCACCATCGCCGGTCAGTTAGCCTCGAGGGTTGGCTTGTGAATCTAAAAGCTGGTTGTTAACCGTATTAAAGTGCAGAGTTTGTTTGTCCAGGTGGGAAGTGGACCACCTACAGGTCCATGGCTGAGGAGACTTTGGATGCAGCCGTCAAAGCCCACAACCTCTCATCCGAACCCTGCAAGACTGTGGGTCTGATGCTGGAGGGAGGCAAGGGCTGGACGCCGACCCTTTACATCCGCCTGGTGCAGGACTACGGACTGGAGAACGAGGTAAAACATACTATAAACTTTATTTGTTTAAAATACTTTACTATATTTTTTAAAACCAACAAATATCTTGGTGCAGTAAAAGTTGTTTCGTAGTACCAACCTTCTCTTTTTCCTCTCTTTTCTTCGTCCACGTCATCATCGTCCGTATAGGTGTGTTAGTCTCTCTGGCAACCTACTAAATTTAGTTTCAGTATTTACTTGTATTCATATTTAGCCAACCTGCTCGGTAACGATTGATGAAGATTAGGTAGCTGGCATTTTGCCAAGATATGAAAACTAACTATGGCTTAAATCTTTTAACCATTTACAAAAAGTGGTGTCTTTTTTTTGTTGAAAAGAAAAGTAGAGAAAAGGAGAAAGTTGACCGACGTTCTGACCGAGGCTTTCTCAACTGTTATTGGAGCATGGAGTAAAAGGGGGCGGGACTTAGGAAGGGTCAGCTGTACCAAACTCACTAGTTACGTTGTTTTTACAAATCTTGTTAAGTTGTAACGTGTAGGCTTTAGAGGTGCTTTTTCACTTTGGACAGAGGGGAAAGCAGACCTTTAACTTCTGTACGCCAGAGCAGATACACATTCATTTACAAACAAAGCTGTAAAATCACACTCACACAGACACATTCATTGTCTTCTTCAGTGGAGCTGACATTAAAGCCTCTGCTGTAACAATGCTGACATTTCTGCTACACAAAAGACTGGACACACGTTGAAATGCAGTGTATGCTTTACAATTTCTCAATGGCATTAAGTAAGGGCACATTGATTTACATCAGATACACGCCATCTTTCCAATAATTGGGCTGTGCGTTTTCATTAAATCCAATAGAACAATGTTTCATGAAGAAAAAGTACTCGGGCACCGAGTGCCTACAGTATACTTACTCCTCATTAGAGGTGTTCTGCACTGGCTCTGCTGTTCTCTCGAATATTCCTGAAAGGTCACTGTTGATATTTGGACAGCGTTTGCCCTTTCACATGATCGGCAAGCCAACGATCTGAATAGCAAATAGCCCTGTTGTGTTCTGTAAACATGTGACACCTCATTGACAAAGTGGCGCTAACGCTTAGCGCTTAACTCCGAGGAGGTGAAATCGATCATGAGAATACCGGCAGCGGTCGCTACGATCTCCACTGTTTAACCTGTGATTTTTAAAAAAGCCAAAGCAGAAAAGTGAATGTGTGCTTAAATAAACTTTAGAATAAATATAAATCTTTGAATAAATCTTTGAATAAATATGGAATTAATAAAAGGTTATACTGCTACCTATGTTACATTTATAACTCAGAGAATTTTCTCTGCGCACAGGTCGCTCAGCACCTGGCGGCAACGTACGGATCAAAGGCGTTCGACGTGGCCAAGATGGCTCAGGTCACGGGGCAAAGATGGCCCATCGTGGGGAAAAGACTGGTGTCCGAGTTCCCTTACATCGAGGCCGAGGTAAAGCGGGATTTCATGCAAACAATTATAAGTGTCGTGGCTCACGTGCTCCAAGTTCAGCCTCATGTCTTCTTTCTCAGGTGCTGTACGCGATCAAGGAGTACGCCTGCACAGCCATCGACGTTATCGCCCGGCGAACACGCCTGGGCTTCTTGAACGTGCAGGCGGCCGATGAGGCCCTCCCACGCATCGTGCAGATCATGGGGAAAGAGCTGGACTGGAGTCAGGAGCGGAAGACGGTACGATTTTAACAGTTTATTTTTTCCTAAAGTGAGTGGGGAGAAAATCTGCCACAAGCTGATACAAACAAAGTATTTAAGTCTCACATTTATTTCATGGTCTGTGTATGTTTTTTTTCCCTGCCCCAGAAAACCTGCTCTGTTTTACACCGTGCTTTAATCCCTGGTGGGTTTTTGGGTGTTTCAGTACACAATGGAAAGGTCCACACCCTTTATCCCTTTAGAGGAGAAGCTCTGTTTGTGTATGAAAGAGGTGAAGTGATATGTGTGCAGTTACGTGTGCATGAAAACTGAACTCTCAACTATTTTAAGCTGTTATTGTTAACTAGCAAAGGGAAGTCTTACAGTAGCGCTGGAGAATAATACATCTGACAATCTGCTGAATACATTTAACAAATGTTCTTACTTGTTATACTTATTTCATAATAGCTTTTTACACTTTACTAAGTCAGATATTCCCAATCTCTGTTACTGTGAAAATAAGCTTCAATTATCACTTTCTTTTTGCCTTTTTTAAGAAAAGTTTTGGGCTGCTAGTTGAACAAAACAAGACATTTAAGATTTAGAATAACAAGACAACAAAAAGTAACAACTGTGGGTCAATTAAAAGCCAGATGTGGGTATTGATTCAGTTTTATTTTTGTTTTATAGTACATAGTGTAGCCTACGACCAATATTTAAAACAAATAGTATCTAGTGATAATTCTTTACCTTATATATGGACCTTTACAGTGTAAATGCTCTTTGCTGTATTTTATATAATTAAAGAGGAAACTGGTGATTTAACAGTCGAGGTGACGCTGATCTCCTGATTCCTCTGCTCTTCTGGTAATGTTTGATCCAGGCGGAGCTCGATGCTGCAAAGAAGTTCTTGTACCACGAGATGGGCTACAGGTCTCGCTCTGAGCAGCTGACCAAGACGACTGAGATCAACCTGGACTACCAGGAAGTAGTCAGGTAGTTATTAAAAAACAAACAGAAAAACAACAACCTTTCATTATCTCAGGAAGTTTTACTTTGCCCCCCTGTCCTGCCACCTTTATCCAGATAATAATCCAGAAAAATGTAATCTGATTACCTTACTACAAAAGGCTTAACAAGTAGGAAGTGGTGCAGCGAGTGTTTTGTGACCAGTTTTGATTTGTGAATGTTTTTTTCTATTCATTGTGTGTCCCCTCCTTCTGAAACCAAAGCTACGCCCCTGAGTTCAGTCATTACTGTAGTACATAAGTGAGCAATAAAAACTGCCTGCGTTTAGACAGAACCAACAGGAAGAAATCCGTCATAATTCACCATCTCTGGTGATCAAACCATTTCAAAGAATATAAGATTTAATTCAGAAAATCTTTTAGTGTCAGTCTTTTCCTGGAGTTTTTTAGTTGTGCAAGTGTCGTTATGTGGTGTCAGTCTTTGTATTTAACCTGCTGTAAGTCTAATTTCTATTATTATCTATATATTCATCATGACTTAAAGAGAATGACTGTAATAGGCAGTGTTTTTCATTTAGGAACACAGCTGTTTACTGGTCATAAAGTCTTCTTAAATACCGTAGAATCAAATGTAAAGAAGTGAGTTAATAACTGTTCGTCTGTCTGACAGGTACAAGAAGCGTTTCCACAAGTTTGACAAAGAGAGCAAAGGATTCATCACCACTGTCGACGTGCAGCAAGTTTTGGAAGTGAGTCGTCTTTCATCCTTTTTCTTTTCTTTCTTTCTGTCTTTCTTTCATATTTACACACTTGTCTTCATTATAATGTTATTGATCCCTGCTCTTGTTTTTCTTCCCTGCAGAGCATCAATGTCGACATTGATGAAAATGCGCTCCATGAAATCCTTAATGAGGTGGACCTCAACAAGAACGGACAAGTTGAAATTGATGAATTCATGCAGGTACGTAATGTGCAGACAGTGAGAGCTGGAAGCACGACATGAAGACGTCTGACAACCGATAATTTCTTTGCACCAGTAAAGTTCACGTGTAAAACTGCTCGGCCATATTGATACAGTTCAAGGGAAGAAAGCATTCTTTATCTTAAAAGAAAGAGAAATACACTCCCTATTAATCATCGCTCCAGTAAAGTGAGTGTGAAAAATATCAATATATTATTTGCACTCTTGTCCAGCCTATAATTAAGTCCTAAAATCCTATTTCCCTAAAACAAGTGAGAAATCTGCCATTGCATTCAGACCATTTCAACCAATCAGTCGAAGCCACGCACCACAGTATACACCGCACTGCATGTGTGCTCATGTCGGCATGTATAAGTCCTAAAACCTAAAACCTAAAATATGCATATATCAACCTGGTTCCAATAGAAATTAATTCATTCAAGAATATTCAAGAAATTAATGATATTGGAAACAGAGAAATATTCTTAGGAGGAGATTTTTGCAGAAAAATAACTAAAAAAAGAAAGGTGTGTGTGTGTGTGTGTGTGTGTGTGTGTGTGTGTGTGTGTGTGTGTGTGTGTGATGAGAGGAACCATTAATGCCTAACACCTCTGTCAGGGTCTGCAGAACAAACAGGACTGAGGACATGAAGGCTGGATAATAGAAGCTCAGGGGAACACAGTCCATTACCACACATTTTTTTTGCCACTTTTTTTTTATTTCTAGTTTCCCCCCCCTCAGAATCTTTTTGTGTGCGGCCATATTTCTATTTTTAATCTGTTTTCAATCGCCTGCCTTGTCATGCATCAGAAATTGTCATGAAATTAGGATTTTTGTATTTATATTTTAATCAGATCCTATTTCTATATATAATGTGTCGTTTTCAGTATTAATACAACACGTTCCCCCTCATACACACATGCTATAGTGGTCACTAAAGCGGCAACACAAATGACCTCATCGTTAAAAAAGGACCATTGTCCACCTGAGATGTGAGAACATCCATTCCTGCAAACAGAAGGTGTGAACTCGACTACATGGAGCTAATTAGAGAGGAGAGTCTCTGTCAGCGACTCGTGTAATGAGGCCCAAAGTGCGTCCGGGGCTCTTCCGTCCATCCACTGCTAAATTACTTTCTCGAGTCCAGTAAAGAGTCATTACAGCTTGATGACAGTCGATGATTTAGTCTTCATTAGTGCGCCGGCTCCTCCGCTGCACTGTGACGGAAACAAACTGATGGCCGGATGATTATATTTCTACATTTCTATCACGTTTGTCATGTATATTATGATGTTGAATGTCTGTTTCTGCTTGTGTACATTTGCCCGACCCGCACGTGGATGACTTAGGGACGACAAACAGGTAGTGTACACGCGCGGCACCGAGGGGAAACCGACACTCTCGAGCTCTACGAGGAAAACTTGGAAAGGGGTTTCCTCTCACATTAACAAAAAAAAAGTCTTAACACAAAACTTTATTAAGTCCTCTTGTGAACAAAGACGACCATGGCTGGAGGGAGAAACACACTAAAAAGCATCCCAGCATCCAAGAAGTGTTAAAGCTGCACTAGGACTGAAAGGACGAGTGTGGTGATATTTTATGGTTTTCTTATTGTCAAGAAATCCCATGGAAGCCTAAAACAAACAATGACTTGATCCCACTAACAAGTACTGTCTGATATAACTTATATCTGATATCTATTATGGTTTAAAGGAACCTAAACATAACAAATTTTTTTACATATTCACCATGACAACAAACAAAGGCAAACAGATTAAAACCAATGTAATACTATAATTATTTAGAATTGTAGCAATCATGGTTGAATTAATGTTTTTTTCTTTACACATAAAAGAAGTATTACAAAGAAAATATTAGGAATCAGAGCACTTGCATTAAACAGAGGATTAGTAAAGTAAATCAAATCTTTTAGGTGTTTAGATTCTACTTTTAATAATATAGCGATCTAGTATGAATGCGAAATGATTACACAGATTACACACTAACACAGTGTTTAATTTTTACTCTTCACACATGAACCAGCTGAAAAACAACAGCAACCGAACTAAAAGAGAAAATAAAGGAATGAATTGATAAAACCTTAAGCATTGTGTAACAGCAAAGAGTGCAATATAGCACAAAAGGTTAATAAACATACAAACACACCTATAAATAGATATCTATATATACATATACACACCGTATATATAGATATGTACACACACTAACATGTTGTTTTTGGACTTAATGGGTTTTGTTGACAATAAGGAAAATATAGAAGAAAACTTTCCTTATCCTGTAAAAACCTCTAAATAAATATGCATAAATTCTTAAATGTGATGTTTTTAGATGCTCTGCAGCAAATTGAATCAGGTATATTGAATATAAAGAGCACTGGCTCATAAAATGGCTCAATTTCTGTGTAGAAAAACACCTAATTCAGCTTTAACACATAAAGAACACGGTTGGTGTTGGTTTCATTTTCTACCTCTTAACGTCCGGCATGTGAAGGGGGATCGGACGGCTCCAGAGCCTTTCACTGGGGATATTTCCGCCGTGGTACAGATAATTATTTCAACCTCGGCTCGGTTTGACAAGGTAACCTTTCCCCGCTGTTATCGCACACATTGTAGACTGTGTTCTCTGCCGTTTCCTGTGTAGCTGATGAGCGCCGTGAAGAAGGGACAGGTGTCTGACAGCCGTCTGGCCATTCTGATGAAATCGGCGGAGGAAACTCTGGATAAGCGAGGGCCGGTGACGGTGGACCGGAGCGGGGGCGGCGTCTGAGCCCCCCGAGACGAGGAGGGGGGGATTTTTTCAAGGATGCCAAGAGAACCTTCTGCTCCTTTTTCAAGGTGGTGGTGACAAAAAAATAAGAAAATGGGCTCATGCAAATGGAGCTATTTGAATGACAATAATGCAATCAAGCAAGCAGCCGGATGAATTTGGCCAAATCAAGTGCAGACCTGCATCACTCCTGAGTGTTTTGGGTGAAATAGTATCTAATGATTGAGGTTTGTTTTTCATGAAGTCAGAGAGTCGATCCCTCTGTCTGTCTTTCCTCTCAACATCAGGTGCCTCTGATTTTACACAGCGCACAATGTATCTGTTTTATACTGTCTTTTTAATCATTGTCTTTGTAGTGAACATAATCGACACTGATTGTTGGGGAAACACTGTCCTCAGTGCGATGCAGCTTCTTCAGATTCGGTTAGGCTTTATTTCACAGCTCCATCATCTCCTCACACTTACTTTCAGGTTTCCTGGAAAGAATGATACAAACAGAGAGAGAGTTCACATAACCTAGAGAGTCTTTTGATCCTTTTCTACCAACGCTCGCACAGTTCTACACACTTTTACTTAAAAGAGTTAAAGGCGAGTGAGAGCTTCTTAATGTCAGCTGTTTGGGGCTCTGAGGAGAATGTTAACGTTTTTTTTATGTATAAAAAAAATGAATTGTGTAAAAAAAAAAAGATTTATACTTAGTATTTAGTATTTATACTTAATATAAAGGAATCTTTGGTTTGACAGTTTTTTTAATGAAAAGACGAGAAAGAAAGAAAGAAACAGTAAAGGGCAGAAGTCATCACTGGGATTATAGCAGTCCTTGTTTTGTCTGATCGCCTCTTCAAATTATTAAGATATTCAGTTTGTCAAATAATGATAATTGATTAAGAAAAGCAACAAATCCTCAATTATCTGAAGGTAAAACGAAAAATTAGGTCTTAAATTACGATATTTTTTGGAAACACCTTAACCTGAGTAATAACTGAACAATTATTAACAAAAATGAGTATTTACTTTATATTTCTTTTCTTTATATTTGACCTATAATTAGTAACAAATGAGCAAATTCTTTCCAGGAAACCTTCTATGAAATTTAAAGAAATGATGGTCCCCTAAAAGAAAGCCTCACCGAGCATTTCTACGTCATGTTTCTGATCTTCGTGTTACAAGTTCCTCTTACACCTTCCTGTGTACTGTGTTTTCCATCTATTGCACTACTAGCAAACTAATACTGATACTGAGGTTTACACGACCAGGGTTCCAGCTTTAGCGTTACTGATGAAGATGCTTTTTAATCACTGCTGCTGTACTTTCCTTATTTATTTTTTAAATCATGTATTTCCTTTTGTCTCAAGTCACTGCAGCTGTTTACAGACAGAAATACACTTACAGAGATTATAGATTTAAAAGCAGGATTTTAAAGGGACTTATTATATGTTTGAGTGATTTTATTAGGATTTTATTACGCATGCTACGTGTTAACTATTCTCTAAATAATGTAATGCAAAATCTTTATTTTTACAACGTGTTTGACGTGGAGTTTATTCTCTTTACTTCCGTGCTCGTGGTGGAGAGCAGAGAGAAATCTAAAATGCTGTATGAACGCACATCCAGTCCGTCTGATATTATATAATCCTGCACGCTCCTCGCTTCACTGTTTATATGTGAGAAAATTGTGTTCTTAAACCCACTATAGACATTTCAGCATGTTTTATCTGCAGCTTTTGTGTGATTTTTCAGGAAGGCAATGCACTGTATGAATGTATGATATGTGCCTTGATGTGCCTAAAACATTTTCACAATACCACACTCCATGTTAAACCAATACAGGAATTTATGTTAAGAATGTTAAGATATTTAAATTGTTATATAAAGAATAGTATTTAAAATGTATTGTATGTCAGTTTTTTTGTTTTTTTTTAGAACGAGCTGCCATGTTGGAGGGCTTAACGACCAGAATCTGACCAGTGTAAGTCAAAAATGACACTTATTTTGAAGGGCTGGGTGTCAAAGCACAGGCAGTCTGATCCGTCACCTTATTTACTTATTGTTCTATATATATATAGCTCATTTTAAATCATTATTTTACAGTATTTTATTCAGACACAGGTCTTGTATAGATGTTTGTGTTTAGACATTTAACATTTAAAGGCCCTGAAAATGTCTAAATGTGTATTCTTATGTTAATGAACGGACTTTCTGCCAGTTATTATTTAGTATTATTGTTTTTGTCTTAGCTCTTCTTACTGGTTTGAAGTGGGCGGGACTGGGTGGGGAAAACGGTGATGTCAAATACTTTTGAGTGGGCCCCTTGTGTGCTTTTAATGCAGGGTTTTGGGTCTGAATGCCCACTATGGCAAACAAACAAATAGTTTTATTGGCAATACTGCATTTTTTTGCAGTACTGAAACTCAGGTATTGGAACCAGTATCCAAAAAAATAAAGAAAAACCCAGCTGAATTTAGTTTTTTTGTACTGTGCCAGTGTAGAAAAGCCTCTGAAGCAGCAGTCAGACCATCATATGACACTAAAACCATTCAAAAAGTTAAATTACGTAACTGTTGATTACGTGTTAGGTTTCATTCCTCCAACATGGCAGCCCTCGCTTGAAGGTTTTATAGTGTAAAAGACGTGTGACTGTGCTTCCTTATTGCCTTCATATTATGATTTATATTCAGATTTTCTATGGACTTCTTCTTACGCAGAGAACAGAATCATTCCATACTGGTTTCCTCCCATGTACCAAACACTGTAACTGTTACTGACGTGTGTGTATCAGTGTGTGGTCACATGGGGGTTCGGCTACAATACCTCGGCACTGAGGACCCTTCAAACTGCCAACGCCGGCCCCGTCAAGCATCGCTCGTGGGCTGCACGACTTAAAACCACATCCCGATGTTTGATTGTCTTCTTTGGATGAAATTACAGCTTTATCCAGGCTCAAAGAGAATCATATTCCTCCTCCTTTTTCTTTTTTTTTTTCTTTTCCACGAATACTGTAAGAATACTATGAGTCAGTCTTCAGGTAAAAAAAAAAAAAGAAAGAAAACAAAGCAATTATCTAATTAAATGTATCTGGTTGCTTGGCTTTTTGTGTTTCTTGTGTCATTCATACCTGGCGTCATAACAGCAGGTAGCAGTCATGTGACAGCCTGATGTTCACTGTATGAGGAGGTCTCTTTTAATTTGGTTTGTATGAATTTGTTTTTTAATTTGATGTTTTATCTTGTGAAATTACTTAATATATTTTTATTGCTGCAATAACTACACTGAAGTTAAAGGAGATAACTGAGAAATAACCAGCTTTTTGAGTTTGTGTGATTGTCTGTTTACTGTTTATTGAGCGTCAGTATTTGGGAATGAGACTAAACGATCAGCTATCCTTTTTGGCTCTGATTGGTTGCTTTTGTTCAGGTGGTGTATTCACCTAGGAGGCACCTGATTTTGTCACAGATTATCTGTCTCATGTTCTTCTTTCAGGATATAGTGAAAGTTATTTTTCTAAAAGTTACCTACTGCAGCTTTAAGGACTTCTTGTCAGTGTGGAGCCAAAGAAGAAGCGCTGTAATATGATTGAAAGCTACTTAATGGACCTTTTAGTGAAATCTCGCTCTCCAATAACCCTAATTTTACTTCTCATCTTGAACAATCTGAGTATATTTTCTGCCTCTCTTCTGACCTCTATTGTTTAGAGTGGAAAACAACATCTACTGTAAATTGATATAGTAGCTTTTTAGCAAATAGTTTATTTATACATAAAGCTGCAGGTGGAGTTCAGAAGGATTTAGTGTCCTATAAGTGTTACTGTAATTGTAAAACATCAGGTCAGGTTGCACCTGGTAAAAATATCCTCACTCACACTGGTTCTCACAAGGACAGAAGCGCGCACACACACACACACACACATATTAAACTTCACCGTCGGCTGGCTGCAAACTGGGTGGAAAACAGCCTTTTCTCCCTAAAGGTCACAGTGAGATTTGAATGACAGCTTTAAGTCCTGCGCTCATATTACAATCTGCAGCGGAGACGTCCGCACTGCGCCGCCTTCCTGGGAAAAGGCCGGGTGAACGGGGAAGCAATTAATTGTAATGAATAATGGGACAAATCTGGTTGGCATATGACCGCCACTGCTGCTTTTTTTTTTTTCCTCTGGAGGATTAGGACGGTGATGCCACGCCGAGGTGTCTGCCTGCACACTAATTGAAAAGTGTGAGGATGATGGGCAGAGGGGGGTTTGTATCAACTACTGTCTTCCTCCATTTATTCTTCTTTTTCTCCTTAATTCAAAGGGAATTTCTTATCCAAATGCATTTGTCTTTGTTAGCAGTTTTTAGGCTCCAAGTCACCTGGAATATGCTGCAAACAAGGCTGTGGCCCCAGAACATGTATACCTCCAGGAGAAGGATTTGAATGGCCTCTTGAAAAAAAAAAGGTATTTATGTTCAATTGCTATGTGTTTCTTCTCTCCCTACATGCGTATAAAGGAAATAGGAAGTCCACAAACCCACTTTTTGGACTAAAATGGTCAAATTTAGATAAGGAATTGTGTAATTTGTGTCTAATTTCTGCCAGATTTCCCACTTTCTAATCTAAAATCATAGTCATTTTGGAAACATTGAGCAAAAAAAATACAGGCCTCTTATATTTAGCCTCTCGAATAGGTGAAATGATGTATTAAAACAGCCTGTTCAGAGCCGGATACGACAGGTAATGTCATAATCGATGTGCATGCTGGGGGTTCATTTGAGCCCCCATGACCCCCCTCGCAGATAATCCGGCCATGCCTTGCATGCGCCGACAGTGTTAACGCCTTCCCCAGCCCATGAGCTCGAGTGCCGGTGTTAGTAATTAGAAACGGGTGAGTGGCAATTATCAGCCATTCTCCTGGTTTCCATAAACAAGTTGTCGCAAAATAATGATGTTTTGATGAGTTTTAATTAGAACTGTGAGTAAGAGCGCGGGGACCAGACGGCCCCACAACAACTCGGTAAACCCTCACTTATTCAGCTCATAATTATGGTAAATAAGATGATAATTAACTGGGAAATTAATCCCATCGACCTCTTGCAAGCAAGTAAAAGTTCAAATATTGATATGACATATTTCATATACATCATTATTTGGTGTTATTTGTGCCTTTAGACTAATTGCTAGTGAAAGTCATTAAATAAGGAGGTTGTTTTTAAAGCATGAAGCACTAAAATGACTTCCTGTGAACTGAGAAGACTTAATGTCTGTGAGAGTCCAGACGTGAGGAGAAAAGAGTGACAAAAATGCCCCGAAACTAGAAAATCTCCACTTTATGGGGTGAAATAATGGTTCAAACCTTTCTTGAACCTCCTCTAGACGAACAAAGAAACCTTTCGCAAGGTGTCCTGACATTTACCTGGGTCACTCACAGGCTTTGTGCAGACAGGAAGCTCTTTCAACTGCATTTCAATGGACACCTGCCAGTCAACCTCAAACAACGAGAGAAGTTCTGCGTCAAATCCAAGAGGAATATTAACATCAATGTAGCAAAAGATTCCTCTTTTCCCGGCAAAACAAGAGGCCGTTTGTCTCAAAATGTGTCCAACTGGCGCCGACGGAGGACCAAACATCTCCATGAGAGGAATGTGGACAGAAGTTGCAGTGTGTTTTGTGACGGCGGTTCGAGTGTTTCCGCCTACGCAGTGAAAATTAAGCGGACTCTTCATCCTCAGATTGTGTGCCATCGTGTTGTGTTTCTGCCTGGCAACAATGCGCTCTTTCACACCGAGTCACTGAAGGGATTGTGGATGGGAGACATGAAATAAATCAGCTCTCATTTTCTGCACGTCTTATTTGTTCTGTTCCTCGCAGTGTGGGAATGTAAATACTGTATGATTCTGTTCATATCTCTGATTTCTTTTTTGTGTTGATTGCAAAATCTGCACCTCTTCTGTGGCTCATATTGATTTCATAATGATCCTTACTCCCTGAAGTCAAGCTGCACAAGTTAAGTGACAATGTGCAAATAATGCTGATACCTTTGGTCAACCAATATCACTAGCTGATTTTCTTTTTTATGTGATACAATATAACACTCAAATGATTTCTCTGTCCTGAAGACGGAGCTGTATATTTACCCAGGATTGTTTCATTGTACAGTTTAATATAATGTGAAATATCTATAAAATGAAGGAAAAGACTGATGGTTCTTGGGTCCATTCCTACTTACAAGCCCACAAAGTACTCTGACCCTCCTCTGAGGGATGTGTTACTGACAGTGATGAAGACCAAACACACAAACATATTCACTCTGAGCAATGTTTATTTTCCCCAAACTCAGACTGTTGGGGTTAGATTCATCTTTTTCATTTTAAACAGGGATAAATAAAGTTCTCCCCAAAGAATAAACTCCTCTTACCAGAACTGCCTCATGCATGGAGTTCGAGTTATAAGGTCAGTCAGACCTTTTTTATGACTAATTATTATTATTGAACCTCAGGACACAGCCGCCCTCGCAGTGGGAATGATTTGATATTAAATACAATGAGGGATTAAACAGTTGTTTCCTGTTATTGTCTGACTATTATCCCAATAATTGGAGTTACTAACTCAGGTCTAAAGTGTTATAAATTGGACATTAACAAGAATTCAAGAGTTACTAATATAGTTTAGTTGCTTTTCAATGCTAATAAAATACAGACAGAGAATTTCATAAAAAAATATAGGAAATAACCGTTTTACACAAACTTCTTTGAGTTCATTGTACAGTTTGAATATAATATGAAATATCTATAAAATATATCACCTAAGTTCTTCTTAAAGACACACTCACTTTATTAATCAGGAGAACGATGTAATATTTAGTGTCTCCAAAGAGTGGGGGGGTTTTAATCCGACTGAACTCGTGGAGTTTAACTGTGTCAGTCTGGAAGTAGAGAAGCAATTATGAAAGTGTATTTATTCCAAAAAAAATAAAAGCATTCAATACTGCCACATAATTCTGATCTGATTGTAACAGAACTCAAAGTAAGCAGCAAACACACATTGTCTGCATTTTGATCATTTGAAGGCTGACAAACCAAAAAACAAAAACAAGTTTAAACATTTGAGTAAAATGTCATATTCTCATGGTTATACATCCCATAACCCTCTGCTTCTAATCCAGATGAACCAAGTTGGTGGAAGGGACCACTGCAGCTGCTGTGCTGACCACTGGAGCTGTGTTGCCAAGTACATTAGAGGTAACATGTAGCATCCTAAAAGCACAGATGTGTTCTAACAGCAGCCATGAATAAATGACTAATTCAGGTTTCTTCGTCTTTGTCTTTTCATAAATCCCTCAGCATGTCCCACAGGAACTGTGAAGAAAAAAAGTACCAAATCAGCCATGACTAGGGCAGCCTCTAATGCTTGTGGGGCTGCTACACACTCCTGTGCCGTAGGTGGCGACGTGCACCCGGTGTTGTTTGTGATCCGCCAGTAAATCCAGAGAAGAAGAAAAGCCAGGTATTTCCTGCATGAGAGAAGTAAGTGTTGTTCAAACTTGTTCATTTCTTGCACAGTTAATGGTTTGGAGCTCATGTATGTTGCCCTTGAAGCTCAGATTGTGTCCTATTAGTGCAGATAATGTGTGCGTCAGGTTGTAGGCAGTGTTCATTCTCACTGCATTCATTAAACTATCTAGACCACATGTTCAGCTAATCCATGCAGCAGCTCCACAGGGTTGGAGGCCTTTGTTTGGCTGGTGGCTTAAAGGACCCAGAGATTGATTAGATTGTCTTTCTTATATTGACCACACAATTCATTTACATTGAATAAAACAAACAAACAAACAATAGCATTTAGCACTGCCTCCTAATTACGGTCTGATTGAACTCAAAGTGAGCAGCAAACATACATTGTCTGCATCAGAGCTTAGAAAGAATAACAGTGTGTGTACTGTACACTTAATGTGCTCTGCTTTGGTTCCTCGGAGCTCCGGCTGCGCTTTGTGACACTCTCAACTTGTTTTAACAAACTCCTCTGATGCAGGACCAGGCTGTTTGCCAGAGAATAGAGTCTGTCTTCTACGGTGGCCCTGAGGTGCAAATCACAACAGCAAATCAGAAAACACAACACAAAAAGAGAAAACACAACAACGACCTATGCGTTCAAGTTGCCAAATCTGAAAATTCAAACCACTAAATAAGGAAAATATTGTATTAATACGTCCATGTTAATGTGGGATACCTAAGAGAGGTAGAAACAGGGGTTCCAATAGTCCATATCTATGTGTTTTCTGATTTGTCGTTGTGTTTTCTCTTTTTGTGTTGTGCTTTCTGATTTGCCGTTGTGATTTGCACCTCAGGGCCACCGTAGTCTTCACCTCTTTGAAATTTAACTCTTAAATAGAAATCACTATTAAATTAGTTTATTTTCACAGAAATGAAAGAAATTCTGCAGCCAGCCACAGACTGTGGACCCTGAGGCATTTTTAAAATGGCTACTGCAGCATGTCGTCTTCTCGGCCGAGGGATTGTGAATGTGATGATTATGAATATAAATGGAGCTCAACTTCTTTCATCTCACTCTTTACTGTATTCTTTGCTACAGCGGTTCCCAACCTGGAGCCCGGGGCCCCCACTAGGGGTCGCCAAAGCTTCATAGGCTGTCGCAACTTAAACAGGTGCTAGAAAAGGATACACTTTTATTGTGGGTTTATTGTAGTTTTAATTCTAATATGAAATACCCATCAAATATGTCACCAAGCAGGGCTCGTCACTTTACTAAATGATATATATTAGAATGTGTCTATATTGCCATATATTAGTAGCAGGTCTGTACTAATCACCTGCTCTCTCTCTCTCTCTCTCTCTCTCTCTCTCTCTCTCTCTCTCTCTCTCTGCCTCCAGGGTGTGCCAGCGAGTCGTGGGACGTGGACGCCGCCACAGAAGGACTTCAGTCTGTCCAGGCGTCACTTCCAGAGACAGTGAGTGAATTATTAGTATTAATATGTGATTTCTTTTCTACATTATTGAAAAACTTTATTGGATTGTGCTGCATAATGTCTCATCTTGTCTGTACTAATCACTCTCTCTCTCTCTCTCTCTCTCTCTCTCTCAGGTCCTGGTTTCTGGATCCCCCCTCCCCTCCACAATGAAGTCTTCTTTGTGGAGGGGAGGGGCCACCCGGTTGTTGTGATGTGTGTTGCCAGTGTAAACGCTCAATAAAATTATTTTAAAATCCATAACCCCCTGCTTCCATCTCTCCGGGAGGGGACACGGCCCCCTCCTCTCCCTCTGCAGCGGGGTGAGACTCCAGGAACCCAGCACCCAAAGTGCTGCCAGTAGTTTTTAATTCAGATTCAGATTATCTGATTAGTTGTTTTTGTTTGTCCATCACCTTAGAGTTTTCAAATACCTACAATCCTACCTGGAATCCAAACCACTGCTGTGTGTGGGCAAGGATTCAGTGACAAATGGTTGAGTCTGACCACTGCAGTTGCTGCGTATGCCACTAGGGGAGCTCTGACGTCATCAATTTCTTGCCAAAAAGGCACCTGTGGCGGCGTCTGCCAACCTCCCCTTCACACTGGGACACGGAAAGCTTAAAACATTTGAGCAAAATTCCAGCCGCTCGTGGCTCTGTGTTCGATAACCCCCTGCTTTGATCTCTCTTGAGCTTCGGGAGGGGACAAGGCCCCCTCCCTCACCCACTGCCATGGGATCGATAGTCCAGGAACCGGCCGGGTGGTATTCGAACCAGCGGTTCCTCCACTGGCTGACCCTACAGTCACAAGACGAAGCCACCACGCCACCGAGCCCCCTTCGCACTAGAACCTGCTCTCTGGGCGCTTTTATTTCTTCACTTTGGGGCACTGGACTTTAAAATTCACTGAGCCTCATAAGGGAATCAAACCCATCGTCAGAAGTGTTGATTAACCTACTAACACAGTTCACAGACATTTCTTCCTTGTTTCTTAGAGGCTTTCAGTCTTCTTCTTCTCGGTGTTGAATTTCAAAAGTCACAATGTCAAAGGTTTGAAGCCACAACCTCTGAACTTGCTTCCATCTTCCACATTGAGCTATAGGACCATCCTTTAACAGCACTGAGCTACAACTCAGGTTGGGAATTTGCTGCTTCGTAGTTGTATTTATTGTTCACATCACTGAGGAGAAACCTTTAAAAATCACCAAATGCAAGAGCTTGGATTTGAACCTTCAACCTCAGGTATCAACCACATCAGCTACTGATCTTACTGAGCTATTCCTGCTGATTGGATTCTTTTTGTTACTTCTTTCATTTACTTTTACTACATTTAATTTAGGTTTTACACTGGACAGATAACCCTGGGGTTATATGAACTATAATGGAGATCAGGTACAACACATCTTCTTTGCTGCGGTGTCTTTATCTTTTTTATCTTTTCTACCAATGTACCTGGGTGCTATGACGACCCAATTTCAAGAATTAATAAAGTCTATCGTTCCTGCACATTCATGGAGGTCACAGGTATTAGTGCTTTGAAAGGAAAAAACTCACCTGTGCAAATAGCTCAGTGAGATAAGTAGCTTATATTGATACCTGATTTGGAAGGTTCAAGTCCCAGACAACCTTTACTGAGATCTTTAAGCGTTTACTTCAGCAACGTGAATAATAAATATAACAACGAACCAATGATTATAACTCTCAGGTGTAGCTCACTGAGATAAGGTGCTGCTACCTGATGATCTAGAGTGGAGGAATCAAACCCAGTTTATCTTCTGATAACACTTTTCTGTGTTTTCTCCTCAAAAATGTAAAGAAAAGCAACAACAAGTACAAATCAACTGTCCCAACATATAGCTCAATGAGTAAACAGTTGTCACAGTTGATTCTCTCTTCTCGGAGGTATGAAGTTGTTCAAACCCAACTGACTGTTCTGACTATTTTCAATGTTTTCTCCTTCAGTGTGAAAGCTCAGTGAGATAAGATGCTGACAGGTCTGTGATCTGGATCTGGGAGTTCAAGTCCTTCTTGGGTTCTTCATGTGTCCATTTCAGTTCAACTGAAAACTTTATTAACTAATTATTTTGTTATTGTTTTTCTTCTTTCAGAATCATTTCATTCATTTAATCCACGGTGCACACATTGAAACCAACCTCGGGAGAGAACAGAGAGTTATGGATTTGGATTTTGGTTTCTGAAGGTGACATTGAGGTCTGCGACTGGTCGACTCCTATTCATTCACTTTACTTATCTAACACTAAATGACATATTTGGACTTTTAATACTAAAACCAGATATAGTTGTACTGATATTTACGTCAACAGTAAGACTGTATATGTACTATAGGACAACAACATTAATACATTCTTATTGATTTCATTTTGTGGTTAATTCAGATTAAATCCTTTTTATTCTAAAGTAAAACGTTATTACCAATATGTTTATATGCAAAGATACATGTTAATAATTTAGTGAGTGCCCTCCAGTATTTATTTTGGATATAATAATAAGTCTTGCTCATGAATGGTTACTAGTACTGATATGAATGTTCACCAACATTAAGACTGGAAAGTGGACTTACCTGAAGACTCTTTAGTAGTTCACAAACACTCGAGTCCCTTGAGCCAAGAAGTGGACAACGGTGTCTGCCGGTTCTTGGCTGATCTTGATGAGAAGCAGAGGGTTATGGAATAAATTAGGTTTGTAAGGACAAGGTGGAACCAACTTTTTATAGGATTCAGTTACAGATAGGAAATAGAAATATAACAAGAGCCTAAGATATATAATAAAATAACAGAGCCTATAGTTTCCATAGTTCCCACAGAGCGTGTCAGCAGCAGTCCTCCTGAAACCATCAAACACAGAATAAATCATCAGGTTGCATTCATTAAATGGCATATTCATGATATATTATATTATATTGATTGTATTGATCGCAACAGATTTTACAATTGCAATAGGAACAGTTAGTGGGAATGATGAGTTTTGCATCCCAGTTTTTATTTGATTATCTTTCATTTCATTTTGAATTATTTTCACGTTCATATATATTTTAATATTTTTACATGTTTTCTTCCCTTGGGAAATAGAAAATAAACAGAAATAGTGACATTTAATATATATATTTAAACTAATAAAGTCTTTAAAAATCAAAGAAGGAAAAGCTGTTTTAAAGATGATACTGGTGTCTAGAATCTGTACAATTATTGGAAGAATAGTGAGACTTTGAGGCCAATTGTATCACAACAAAAGGAAAACAAAGATATTGTCACCATGTTCCTGCCAGATACTGTAGTAGAATAATTCAATGAGCCAATAATCAATAATAATCAGACCCTCTAGTGGCAGCAGATCTTATTGGCTCCAATAAAGGTCAATCACACACAGCTGGCTCGGTTTCAGTGTTACTGCCGGTACTGCTCCACAAGAGCAACGTTACACTGTTTGATCAGTCAGTGAGACAATGACAGTGGATAATGACCTTAATCGATCTCTGATATTCTCACACAGCGAGGAAACAACAAACAAACAAACAAACAAACAGCAGCCATTGAACTACCAGCAGCTTCATTATCACATTGTTTGTCTTTGTTGTTCGAGACGCTGTTCGCTTGTCGCTTTCACTGAATGCTCATCAACAGGTGGCGTTGATTTCCTCTGACAATAACAGCAAGAAAACAACAACAACGACTGTTTAAAAGGTAATGTTCATTCTCAGGAGTTTGACCGATGTTTGTTTGTTTGTTTATAGTCAACAACTTTTAGCATAGGTGTTCGCTAGCTGACGTCGTTAACTACAGACGCGGCGACCCTGTGTTTGTTTGTGTTTGTTTGTTTGTTTGTGTGGCTGTTCCGCCTCTGACTGACCTTATAACTCACAGGAAACTGAAGTTCCCTCTTTTATTGTCTCTCCTTCTTCCTCTCGTCCTCTAAACGTCTTCATGAAACAGGTTCAAGTATCCGGAGCGACCGCGAACTTTCCGTCATGGCGTCAGTTCGCCTGAGCAGCCCGGTGGAGAGTCTGTTCCCTGGTGGAGAGTCATTGTGGACTAGAGAGGGAATACTGGGAATATCTGCTTCATGGAGACGTTTGGAGGACGAGAGGAAGAAGAAAAGAGGACATAAGACGAAGAACTGGAGTTTGTTGTGAGTTAGAAGGTCAGTCAGAGGCTGAACGGCCACACAAACAAACAAACAAATAAACAAAAAACAGGGTCGCTGCGTCTGTTGCTCGCTGACTAACAGCTAAACAAACAATCGGTGAAATTCACTCGAGTTACATTAAGGTGACAATGAGAGCTTATTGTGAGAATGAACATTACCTTTTAAACAGTCGTTGTTGTTGTTTTTTTTGCTGTTATTGTCAGAGGAAATCAACGCCACCTGTTGATGAGCATTCAGTGAAAGCGACAAGCGAACAGCGTCTCGAACAACAAAGACAAACAAAGTGACTGTTTCTGGATCTTTGGATATATTGATTGTTTGTTTGTTGCTCTGTCAATAATTAGACTTTATTGTGTGTCTGATGGCTGCAGGAGGACTGCTGCTGAGGCTCTGTGGGAACTATGGAAGAGTCTTCAGGTTGGTCCACTTTCTAGTCTTAATGTTGATTATAAATGTGACTGAATCCTATAAATGTTTGTTGTTTCTCTGTAATCTACACAAAGCTGCAACCACTGACTGTGTGTCAGTCTTTAGGTTGTGGGTTTGAGTTTGAATTGAATTGTCTGACAGTGTTATAATATGTCAGTTTCTTACAGGTTGAAGGCTGATGTCCAGAGTTACAGGAGGACTGCTGTTGACACGGCCTGCAGGAAACACAGAAGAGTCTTCAGGTAAGTCCGCTTTACAGAGTTTATGTTATTATTCACTAACTGATTAAACACTAACTGTTGATATATTGACTGTGTGTAAATTACAGATATTGGAGAGGTCCGTGGGGTGAAATCCAACCTCAGTAAGTGTTCTTATTGTGCTCTGCTTTGGTTTCTGGGAGCTCAAGCTGCAGTTACTTGTTTTAACTCTTACTAACTATTAATATTAACTATTTCCTTTGGTTGTTTCCACAGAAATTAAGGAAATTCTGGACCCTCAGGCTCCTGTAACCCAAATCCCATCGCTCCCAACCAGAACCCCGGACACGCTGCTGTAACCGTCTTCCACTGCGATGCTGTGGTATGTATCTTACATTATTCTTGTATATGTAGTAATATTATATTTTTTTTTTTTTATATTTTTTTTTTTTTTTTTTTTTTTTTTTTATTTTATTTTAGTGTTTTTAATATAATTTTTTAGTTTTAATTTAATTTAATATAATATAGTAGTGTCTAATTTAATTTAATTTAATTTAATATAATTTAATATAATATAATAGTGTCTAATTTAATTTAATAGAATAGTGTTTAATGTAATATATAGTCTAATATAATATAGTACTGTCTAATATAATGTAATGTAATATAATAGTGTCTAATTTAATTTCATATAATAGTGTTTAATGTAATATAGTATAATATAATATAGAAGTGTCTAATTTAATTTAATATAATATAATAGTGTTTAATTTAATATAAAAGTGTTTAATGGGATATATAGTATAATATAATAGCACTGTCTAATATAATATAATGTAATATAATAGTGTCTAATTTAATGTAATATAATATAATTTAATATAATATAGTAGTGTTTAATTTAATATAATAGTGTCTAATTTAATTTCATATAATATAGTAGTCTAATTTAATTTAATATAATATAATATAATATAATATAGTAGTGTCTAATATAATGTAATATAATATAATAGTGTCAATTTAATTTAATATAATTTAATTAAATATACTATAATAAAACAGTTTCTAACTTAATTTAATTAAATTTAATATAGTACAATAGTGTCTAATTTAATTGAATATAATATAGTAGTGTTTAATTTAATATAATAGTGTCTAATTTAATTTAATAATTTAAAGTGTGTGCTACCTGTACTAACTTTTTTTTCTCTCTCTCCCTCTCTCTCTCTCCTGTTTCCTGATCGCCCCCTCCCCTCCACGATGAAGTCTTCTTAGACTTCATCGTGGAGGGGAGGGGGCGATCCACAGATAAGACTTCCTGAGGGGAGGGGGAAGAGGGGTGTTATTGTTGTATGTGTATGTTGTTAATGTTCAATAAAATCATTTTAAAATCTATAACCCCCTGCTTTTACCTCTCTGGAAGCCTGGGAGGGGACACGGCCCCCTCCTCTCCCTCTGCAGCGGGGTGAGGCTCCAGGAACCTGGCATCCGGCGCCGAGCGAGCCTCGAACCAGACACTTCTGCATTCTGGCCGCTCCCATGCACACTGCGCCACCATGCTCCCTTCACACTAGAACATCTTCTCCGGGCGCTTTTATCTCTTTACTTTGGCTGCTGGAACACAAAACACTCAGTCTCATAAGAGAATCGAACACCCGACCTTTGGTCTCCTGATCACTCTTCTAACACTCTGCGCTGTTTGATCTGAGACTCTCTGTGCTTCTAACAGCTTTTCACTTGTTTCTACGAACATCTGACTTCATAATTCAGAGTTGAGCGAGGCTCAAACCCCACTTCCAATCAGACAATCATCTGCTTATTCACTGACACAGTACCACTGACAGTAGAGTCTGGGTCAGTTGTTACTTTTCTTCACCTCTTTGAGCAGAGAGAGAGCTTCGTAGTTGTATTTATTGTTCACATTACTGAGGAGAAACCTTTAAAAATCTCACAACGCATGAGCTTGGATTTGAACCCTCTACCTCAGGTATCAACACCATCAGCTGCTTATCTTGCTGAGCTATTCCTGCTGAGGGTATTTTAAACTTTCCTTTTACTGCATTCTCTTCATTTTTTACAGTTTTATAATCTGGGGGGTTATACGAGCTCTAATGGAGCTCCTTGTGTCTCAGGTATAACAGTGCTGCTTTCCTGCACATTTATGGACGTCACAGGTATTAGTGCTTTACTAAAAATAATAATCCATCAGTAGAAATAGCTCAGTGAGATAATCTGCTGATGTTAATATCTGAGGTGGAAGGTTTTTGAGGATTTTCAGTTTTCCCTTCAGCAACATGAACAATAAATACAACAAACCAGTGACTTGTAACCCTCAGGTGTAGCTCAGTGAGATAAGGTGAATCTACTTGATGATCCAAGGGGAGGGGGATCAAATTCAAAATGTCTTCTGATAATGCTTTTCTGTGTTTTCATCTAAAAAATGCAAAGAAAAGCAACAACAAGATCAACTCTATTGTCCCAACAAATAGCTCAGTGAGATAAGACAGTGACAGGTCTGTAAACTGGACCTGGGAGCTCAAGTCCTTGTTGGGAAACAAACACAATAGTTGGTTCTGATCTGGTCGTTCCTGACTCCTATGAGACGCTCTGAAACCATTAAACACACACAGTAAACACTAGTGATACAAAGTAACTGAGCTTAATGACAACATCACATAACTGACAATGTATCAGGAATTAGTAGAATAATTGATCATGTAAGTAGGATTAGTAGTAATGAATAAGTAAAATAAAGTCCACCTGTAGGCGTTGTACACCTGCAACAAGAAGCAACATTCAATCCCATTTCTCCAACAGTTTGTAAAACCTCAGCTGGGTGGAGTTTCTGCTTACAGGTCTCTGGGGGGCAGAGGAGGTCACGGCCCTCCTCCTCATCCACTTCCGTGGGAATTGAACCCACTGCTACATGGTAGCAGGTGCTTTGCGAATCGCTTTCGATGCCGCTGCTCCACCGGACCGTCCGCACTCGGAGCTGTTCTCTGACGGACTTTCAGTCCACTGCTGAGGACGTCTGCCTTTAAATGAAAAACACACAAGGGAGAATCGAACCAGTGAACGCACATTCACAGACAGCTGACAACACCACTGGACCACAGAGCCTCTCTGACAGCTTACTAACAACAGGAAACAGTTTGAGCTCAGAAATAAGTATAAATTCTCTCAAACTTTTAAAATGTAGCTTTGTGCGCGCTGCTTTAAGAGACACTGTGAGCTACAAAGAAGACAACAGTTTACACTTAAGTTATCACTAAATGTTCTTCGGCGTAAAGAGCACAACAAAACCTGGGTCTTTACCTAAAGAACAGTTGTGCCTCTAGAAATATCTCCAGCACAATCAGGAACTTGCCAATTGTTTAAGGTTTTTACTCTTTCTTTATGTTCTAAATATTAAATATTCAACTAAATTCCTTCCTAAATTAAACACAGCAGCTGTTAAAAAATAAATAAAATATCCTACCAGAGGAGACTGACGCTGCAGATCTACGAGTGTGAGACAAATTAAAGTCTTAACATACAACACAGCTGACAGAGAAAGTAAGAATCATACAACAGTAATAAACTTGATTCAGTTACGTTTACAGTCAACAATAAGACAGAAAGTGGAGCAACCTGAAGACTCTTCCATAGTTCCCACATTAGTATTAACAGCAGTCCTCCTGCAGCCATCAAACACAGAATAAATCATCACAACTATAAGTTGCATTCATTTAAACTTGAACCATGGTGCACACATTCAAACCAACCTTGATGAGATAAAACAAGTGGCAATTTGCACTCATAAAGTTAATTTCATTAAATGTTATGCTGCTGTTGAGACCACGTTCTGGGCATTTGTTTAAGCAACAAAAAAGTGAATGGTACATTTAAGATCGACGCTAATGCACGGCTGCTAACACGCTCAGAGTGACAACACTGAAATGCCAATCGGATGTAATGTCTGTTGTCACATTCACCAGCTGAGCTTAGGGTGTCTTTGACATTTGCTAATTAGCACTAAACTTCATCCTTCATTCCCCCAATGTTCACGTCAATCCATCCAGTGCGTGTCGAGATATATCGCAGGAGGAAGTGACACCTCAGAGCACCAGAGTTCGTTCAAACCGCTCTAAAAACGTCATATTACTGCACAGCGCTCTGAGTAAAAACTATGATTTCTGCTGTACAGGAAAGAAAGGACACAACTTGCCACCCTGCTCCTTTTTAAACCCCCTCTGCTCTCACCCATCACCACTTAATGACTTCCTTTAAATGTCACCGTGGAGGGGTGCTGTTATATACGTCGGATTAAAATCTCATTAACTCAGAATGAGAACCTCCAGTACCTGCAGGTACCCCCCCCCCCTCCGATCTGGTGCTGGGAGCCCTGTTCCACGAGTTCCTTACAGATGGTAAAGGCGGCACAGCATTAAAGGAGAGGATTTACACACAGTCAGTGATTCAGTCGAAAGGCACTTAATCGATCTCATTCCCTGGTAGCTGCCCCTCTCTCCTTCAATGCTACCCTCCCCCTTCCCCCTCCCCTCCCCCCGACTTGTCACAAACTCCCTCGGAGCATCAGAGACGATGACGAGCCCCCAGGCAAGCTGTGATCTTTCAGTCTGTCTGCGCGAGGGTGACCTGCCCTTTACATCACCTCTCGCTGAGGATTCCTCCACTTCCTCTGCTGCCTTTTGTTTTCATCTCGAAAGAGGGGGAACGGAGGAAGGCAAGGCTGAAAAACAAAGAGAGAGGTAGAGCAGAAAGGTATTTTACTTTAAAATCTGAAGGTCAAAGAGTGCCCGCGGTTTCTGATGTGGAAGTCCTTCCTGTGACCTCTGACCCAGGAAGCCCTGTGGGGTGAGCGGTGACATTTGCTTCTATTCAAATGAAGCTGAAATGTTTTACATGTGCAGACGTTACCCACTCCAGCAACAGGACAGATGTTTTCCTGTTGGCCACCTTCACCTGCAGGGGAAACCTTTCATTGGGAACCATTATGCTAATACAGCTGTGCTCCAGCTGTGGGAGTGGGCAGAGAGCCACAGTGGAAAAATATTTTAAAAATAGTTAAATAAATGAGGTTTAATGAGGGAAAATTGTATTATCCATTAATTAATTCATTCTGAATTCTGAGTTTCCCCCTGTGAACCAACTGTAGGCTCCAGCAAGCTACATATTTTTTATTTAATATTTTTCCTAGTATTTATTTATTTATTTTTACTTCTATTTTGAGGGGTAGTCGCTCTCTACATTTTGGGACAACATCTCCTATAATTTGGGGGCTTCTTCAACACTATAATCAATCAATCAATCAATCAATCAATTAATTTAAATCAAATATAATAATTTAATATTTTTTGATTAAATATATTTATGTAGACATTACTAGAATCAATCTTGTTTTTCTTTCTTATGTTTTTTTCTATTTGGCCAAATAAGGAACAATTTATGAGTTTATCTGTAATATA